ACATACATACATACATACATACATACATACATACATACATACATACATACATACATACATACATACATACATACATACATACATACATACATACATACATACATACATACATACATACATACATACATACATACATACATACATACATACATACATACATACATACATACATACATACATACATACATACATACATACATACATACATACATACATACATACATACATACATACATACATACATACATACATACATACATACATACATACATACATACATACATACATACATACATACATACATACATACATACATACATACATACATACATACATACATACATACATACATACATACATACATACATACATACATACATACATACATACATACATACATACATACATACATACATACATACATACATACATACATACATACATACATACATACATACATACATTTGTTTGTTACGTACGTACATATGTACGTTTGTTTGTTTGCTTGTGTTTGTTTGTATGTATGTATGCAACATAAATACACACGCATCGTTTGTATGCAGTAAACAGAAATATACTTTGGACCCACCCACTGGCTCCATCGTTTAATAATAAGAACAAAAATAATAACAACAATATAAATAGCAATCACAATAACAGCACCAACAAGACAACAACAATAATGATAATAATAATAATAACCTTAGAGTTGTTAAAAATAAAACAGAGCAAAGAATAATGAAATTATCTTAATTATTCGTGCTACTTGTAGTTAACAAAACGTCAGTTGAATGAAGTGAAGTGAAGTGAAGTGCCTGAGTGATTACACAAATCATTCAATTACATAATAATAATAATAATAATAATAATAATAATAATAATAATAATAATAATAATAATAATAATAATAATAATAATAATAATAATGGAAACATTCTTTTATTTACCGAAAAACAAAATCCAAATAAATGGAATCCATCGAAAATTATTAATTATGTATTAGAGTGTAAATAAATAAAATATAAAATTTATTGTACGATCCTCTCATGCCCTTTGATAAACAAGTGCTTGAGAGTAAAAAATATATTTAAAATCGGTTAAGTAGAGTTTCTGTCACAATATATGCTATATGATATTTAATTACCGCGTTAATCAATTTTTCATTAAAAGAATAATAATAATAACAATAATAATAGTGTAAACCCTTCAATTTTCAAAATCCAAAAATGAATAAAAACTAATCAAAATAATGAAATAAATGAGAATAATGAGGATGATAGTATTAATAATAACAATAAAATGATAATCATCTTCTATTTCATCAACTATTATTATTCTTATTTTTCATACAAATTAATCTGTTTGCGTGTGCGTGCGTGCGTGCGTGCGCGCGCGTGTGTGTGTGTGTGTGTGTGTGTGCATTGTCTGTTAGCCGTGGTGCGGTGCAAGTAGTGCCTGGAATTGCGCGATCATTCATTCTATTTTTCTTAATTTTTCTCATTTTTTTAATTCTTTTATTATTTATTATTATTCTTATTATTTTCTTCTTCTTATTATTATTATTGTTCTTCTTCTTCTCATTCCTTTTCTTACTATTTTTTCTACTATTATTGTTGTTGTTGTTGGTGGTGGTGGTGATGTTGAAGTGATATTGTTGTTATTATTAATGTTGTTGTTATTATTATTGTTGCTGTTTTTGGCTTTGTTGTTATTATTATTGTTGTTGTTGTTGTCCAGTGGTTACGGTTTTGTTGTTTTTTTTTCTTCCCGCTGTCAACAGATAAAAATTATTCCCTTCAACAACAACATCATTATCATTTTATCGTCCTCATCATCATCGTTACTATCACAACCAGTCCTCATCATCACGTCCTCATCATCATCATCACTACCATCGTTGCCATCATCATCATCATCACCGATTTCAACATCATTAGCATCTTCATCTTCATCAGCTTCTTATCTTTCTAACCAACATTGCTCCATAGCAATCGTCGTCTCATCATCATTGCTACCTTTACCACCACCACCACAACCACCAGTCGTTGCCATCCTATCATCATCATCATCGTCGTCGTCGTCTTTGTTATCATTATCATAATCGTCATCGTTGTCAGCATTATCATCACTTGATGGCGACATTTAAAACCTTGATGGAGCATGTGTGTGTGTGTGTGTGTTGGAGCATGTGTGTGTGTGTGTGTGTGTGTGTGTGTGTGTGTGTGTGTGTGTGTGTGTGTGTGTGTGGTGTGTGCCTCTTGTACAATATGGTATGTAGGTAGGTAGGTGTGTAGGTAGTAAACACAGACGTAAACATAGAGAGAGAGATAGAGAGAGAGAGAGAGAGAGAAAGAGAGAGAGAGAGAGAGAGAGAGAGAGAGACATCGGTTTCAGTAGTAGTTGTATTTAGTTTGAAAGTAATAGTATCTTTAATAGTAGTAATACTAGGTAATGATAAATTTGAAAACAGTGGAAGCAGCAGAAGCAGCAACATTAGCAGCAGCAGTAGTGACAGCAGAAGTAGAAAAATTACTACAACTAGTTGTAGTAGTAGTAGTGGTGGCAGTGGTAGTAGAACAGCAAAAGTGGTTGTAGTAATGTCAATAGTTGAGCTGAAGTACTTGTGTCCGTGATCTTTTCATCTAGTGCAAACGATCTAAATTCAATAAAGGCGGATTTAAGTTACTCATACCTATACACGCTCGTACACACGCAGGCAAACACACATAATACGCAGACACACGTGTATTTATGTATGTGTGTGCGTGCGTGTGTGTGTGTGTGCATGTATGTCTGTGGGTGTGTGTATGTATGTCTGTGTGTGTGTTTGTTTGTGTACGTGAATATAATACGTTTGTAACGCTATTTGCTAGTACACGTACACACCGAGCGAGGAGTATGTTTGAAGGTACAATGGATATAGAGGTGAATGAATGAGTGAAGGAATAAATAATGAATGAATGAATGAACGAATAAAGAATAATTATATGATTGAATGAATGAAAGAATGAATGGATGAATTAATGAGTAAATGAATGTACATGCTGACAGAATGCACTTATAAGTATCTATTGGCTTGCCTTGACGAGTGATTTTGTATTTGTTAATTTGTATGTGTGTGTGTGTGTGTGTGTGTAACTGTTAAAAGTGTGTGCGCGCGCTCGCGGATATGTGTGTGTGTGTGGTGTGAAATAACCTCGAAGGAGAAGCCAAGCAAATTTGTTGCATCCTGGAATTATGTGTTTACGTTAATGTTGTGGATGTGTAGCTGGAGTTGTTGGACGAAATGCATGTGTCTTGTATGGGTGTAGTGTGTATTTTGTATGTATGTTTTGTGTTGAATTATATTGTATGTTGTATGTATGTTTGTTGTGTGTTTGCTTATTTGTTTGTCTAAATGTCTAATTCATATCATTCTAGTTGAATTGTTTATATACATAAATTGTTTGCATTCATTTAACAATGACTTGTTTTTCTTTTCAATTTTTCTTCATTTTTTCCAGGGCTAAATTTTTTAAACATTTTTGTTTTTGTTTACATGGCGATGAAAATGGAGAGTAAGCAAGCAAGCAACTTTTCGACATGTCTTAAAATTCTGTGTCCTTCAAACGAAAGCTGGCCTATATACATTGGTGTAAATATGCTTGCGTGTCTCTATGTCTGTCTGTCTGTCTGTCGGTCGGTCTGTCTGTCTGGTCTGCGCGTGTGTTTATTCGACTGTTTTTGTGTGTATCGCGTTGTGTA